CTCATGCGGTGGTGTCGCTTAGCGACAAGGACACTGAAGTGAGTGCGTTTTCTGCGCTACCTGCGGGGCCTATTCCTCGCTACGCTGCTTTAAGCTGGGGCAGGAATGCACGGGGCGTAAGTTGGCGGGTGCTACGTCTACGCCGCCGCGCATCATGGCAGGTTTGCATCCCCCCTACAGGAACTTCGAGGATCGCCTTTCGCAGCCATCTCACCGTAGTGTCAACTACGCGCGTTCTGCTGCCACCCTCCCTCCTCCTCCTGAGGTCGCCGCGCCTGCTGCAGGGACGGAGTCCTTAGTGAAAATTCCGAGCATGCAGGCCTTCGCTGCGCGCGTTCAGGCAAAGGAGGAGGCAGCAAACGCTGCCGCTAGCACGGGCCACGATCTCACTGGCGCTGCTGGTGTACAGGATGGGCGAGACACTGCACCTGTGGGAGGCGCCCCCACCGTGGTTGAAGAGCACGTGTCTTCCGAGGGTCTCGTCGCGGACCCGAGGCAGGTGTTCCAACATGTAGTGGGCTCCGTGAAGGTCGAAGATGACGAGGGCTCACGCGTCCTTCCGTCTCGGGACCCTTATGAGGATGATTCTGACTAGTGGCCGTGATTTTGAGGGGATCGCCTTGGTTCGGCTGGTGCCAAACTGGACTTGACTTTGCTGTTTCCCCCTCGCTCGTGTCCTGCTGCCAGTGGTGTTTTATCCATGGGCAGTATAGCGCAGCCTGCTGACTCGCCGATTGGCCGCGCAGGCCTTGGGCTTAGCTTGTGGCGAGAAGGGCACGATGCAGGCTGCGCTTCGCTTCCCCTAGGCCATCGGACGGGCTCGTCTTTTTGGCATCTGTAACCGGCGCCCTCTGGGCGCCCGCGGCCTGGGCTGAGCCTGTTAACCCGCCGCGTTGTCCGACGAACATCGTCGGGCTCTTGTTTGTTGCAGGGAGGTCGCTCACTGCGCGCGACCTTCATCGTTGGCTTCACCGTTGGCCCCCTCGGTCCTGCCTCGCGGCTCGCAGAGGATACAATATCTTCCTCGTCCTCCTCTTTGATCTCCTGCTCCTCATTTTCCTGTCCCCTCGCCCCCGGGGGCGGTCTGCGCGCGCGCTCTGGCGGCATTGCTGCTGTCGGGGGCCCGTCCATGGCCCATTTTTTTTCGGGGCGTCGGACAGATTGCGCAGTGGAGGGGCGGTTCACTCTGTAAGAACGGTTTTTTGAAGGCAGATCTGCCTTCAAAAAACCGTTCTTACAGAGTAGACCATTCTTTGAAGGCAGATCTGCCTTCAAAAAACCGTTCTTACAGAGGCCCCAACGCCCTCAGAGCAGAGCCTCGCGCCCGTTTTGGAACGCCGCGTTGCCAGCCTGTTGTCGTCCGTATTTTGGAGGCTTGAGGGGGGCTCGGCGACCTCTTGGGCAGAGGGCGAGGGGCCGGTGAGGAAGTTCGGGGGGGGGGGATGTTTATGTGATGCGGATGACGACGAGGATGGTGATGATGAGGAGGAGGATGGCGATGATGCTGATTATGGATCGGAGAATCCCTAAGGGCTTGTCGACTTTTCGCCGATCGACTTGTGGGGAGCGAGCCAGAAAAATCCAGGTAAATGCAGATAAATCGAGGTAAATCCAGATAAATCCAGGCAAATCGAAACAAATCCGGGTAAATCCAAAGATCTCCGAGGAAAGGTGAAGCAACTCGCGGCCCTTCCAGCGCGAGTCGAAGGACGGCAGAAGTCGTTAAGCCTTTAACGAGAGAATGCTGATGGTAAGGAGGATGAAGGTGAGGATGGGGATGGTGAGGGTTAGTATGATGCGAAGAAGAGGAAAGGGGAGGAAGGAGGCGGATGACAGAGGTGGGAGAGAGATAGGTGGTATGGGAGGAGCGGAAGAGGAAGAGGAGGACCAGTGCGAACCCAAGGTTCACCAACGATGTTGGGATCCACCCTCCTTCCAAGTTCCCTCTTAATAAACACCTACACGAGGGCTCCCTTCCGCTGAGGGAATTCCTCCATTGGGGAACAGTCGTATGGAAATCCCGAAACGTGCCAAATCACCATTTGCAGGAGACCACGTGATTGTTGCGTCCTGGCGCTCCCTGAATCGTGCCATAGCACAACCCGTGGGACTTCTACACCGCGAATCCACCGAACTGTTGCGCACTTGCAATCATGAGTCGTTCCAGAACAATGTTTCTGACACGTTAACCATGACATTCAGTGAAACAGTTGTATATTTTACAACGAGTGCACGCGTCGCTGAAGCGAGAGCCCCGTTTTGAAAAGGAATTGTTTTCAATTCGTGAAGCGCTTGCGTTTTTCTTTATATGTATAAGAAAACAATCTGCTCGGCGCTTAGGCGGTAACCACATTTTCAAAACCGCCCGCCTTCAATCCGTGAAGCTCTTGCAAATGTTTGAAAAGAATGCGCGCGGCGCTGAGGCGAGAGCCATATTTTGAAAACGGCCCGCCTTCAATCCGTGAAGCGTTCGCAAATTTTGTAAGAAGGTGTGCGCGGCGCCAAAGTGAGAGCCACATTTTGGAAGCGACCCGCCCTCCATTTATGAAACTTTTTCCAATTTCTAAGCTTCAGGCTCATACGTGGTCGGAGGTGAGGGGGTGAGATCGAAGTGGAACGGAAAGCCCCCCTACCGGGAAATCGGTTTCGGTTTCGTGTTCGTGCGTGTCGTGCGTGCGGGCGAGGCATAATTGCGTGGGCGGGCGAGAAGAAAGTCTCCTCCGGCTGAGGCGCGGCCGGACCAAATGTTTCCTTTCCGGGGGCCGGTGGGGCGCGGTGTCCCGCCGGTGTCAAGCCTGCGGCTGAGGCGCGGCCGGACCAAATGTTTCCTTTCCAGGGGCCGGTGGGGCGCGGTGTCCCGCCGGTGTCCCGCCGGTGTCCCGTCGGTGTCCCGATGATGATGATGATGATGATGATGATGATGATGATGATGATGATGACGATGATGATGATGATGATGATGATGATGATGATGATGGTGATGATGATGATGATGATGATGATGATGATGGTGGTGGTGGTGGTGGTGATGATGATGATGTCGATGATGTTGATGATGCTGATGATGCTGATGGTGGTGATGATGGTGTCCCGATGATGATGATGATGATGATGATGATGATGATGATGATGATGATGATGATGATGTTGACGATGTTGATGATGTTGCTGCTGATGATGCTGATGATGATGATGATGGTAACGGTGGTGATGATGGTGTCCCGATGATGATGATGGTGATAATGTTGTTGATGATGATGATGGTGTCCCGATGCTGATGATGCTGATGCTGATGATGCTGATGCTGATAATGATGGTGATGTTGATGATCCTGATGATGTCGGTGGTAATGAGATGGTGATGAGATGATGATGAAGATGATGATGATGATGGTGTCCCGATGATGATGATGGGGTTGATGGTGTTGCTGATGATGATGATGGTGATGTGGCGATGGTGATCCCATGATGATGATGTTGATTATGATGATGATGATAATGATTATGATGGCGATGATGGTCTCCCGATGATGATGATGTTGATGATGAGGATGATGATAAGATGGTGATGATGATTTTGATGATGGTGGCCCGATGATGGTGATGATGATGACGCTGATGTTGATGATGATGATGGTGCCCCGATGATGATGATAATGATGATGATGATGATGATGATGATGATTGTGATGATGGTGTTGCTGCTGATGATGATGGTGTCCCGATGATGATGATGTTGATGATGTTGATGATGTTGTTCATGAGTTTTGATGATGATGATGATGATGATGATAATAATAATGATGATGATGATGATAATGATGATGAAGATGATTGTGGTGCCCCGATGATGATGATTATGTTGTCCCGATGATGATGATGTTGATGATGATGATGGTGACGATGATGGTGTCCCGATGATGATGATGATGGTGATGATGATGCTGATGATGATGTTGATGATGATGGTGATGAGGTGGTGATGATGGTGTCCCGATGATGATGATGATGATGATGATGATGATGATGATGATGATGATGATGATGATGATGATGATGATGATGATGACGTTGGTTGTGAGATCGATTGTGATACCGATAGTGTGATTGATCGCGATACCGAATGTGAGATCGATTGTGAGATCGATTGTGAGATCGATAGTGGGATCGATAGTGCGATCGATCGTCAGATCGATTGTGAGATCGACCGAATGAAATAGATTGAGTGAGATCGATCGAGTGAGATCGATCCAGCGAGACCGATAGTGAGATCGATAGTGAGATCGATAGTGAGACCGATCGAGTGAGACGTTGGTTCCTCCCCCCCGAACCTCCTTTTCACCCGAAGGGTGGTCGTATAGGTAAGGAAGTCTCAGGCGAAACGCCCAGCCCGCCCTTCCGACTGGCCGCAGGGTGCGACAGGGAAGATTCATTCATAAGGAACAAGAGTGGAGGATCAGGAGGAGGATTCAGATGAGGGGAAAAGGAGGAGGAGGAGGAGGAGGAGGAGGAGGAGGAGGAGGAGATGGGAACGGTGGAGGCGGACGGATGAGGAGGGAAGAGGGGGGAAGGTAATGATCGCGAGGAGGGGGAGGGGTTGGGCGAGGGAGGTGGCAGGAGGGCGAGGGCAGGGGAGCCGGAGCCAGCTGTGGAAGGGGCGGTGGCTCCAGCGTGCCGCGTCTCACCAGCCGAGCCCTCCTCCTCCTCCTCCTCCTCCTCCTCCTCCTCCTCCTCCTCTGCCTCTTCCTCTTCCTTCTCTTTCTCCTTGTCGTCCTCGATGTTCAAGGCGATCGCCGCCTCCTCAGGCGAAGAGGTCATCATCTTTGTCCTCGGACCGGTGAGACGCGGGAGAGGCTCCGCGGAGCCCCGCCCCGGCCCCGCGGAGCCTCTCCCGCGTCTCACCGGTCCGAGTTGGGGCTGATCGGTGGGTCTTTTCGTCCGCTGAGGCGGGGCGCGCTGGGTGGTGTTCGAGGCAGCGTGTGCCTCGGGCCTGGTCCGCGGATGCCTTTGCCAGCTGTGGAAGGGGCGGTGGCTCCAGCGTGCCGCGTCTCACCAGCCGAGCCCGTGGTCCCGAGGTCCGAGCTGGGGCTGATCGGTGGGTCTTTTCTCGGGCGAAGAGAACTATGCACATGCACTGATCCTGGCAAGGCCCATCCTTGACCCAGGATCGGTGCATATGCCGTCCTGGCCAAGGTAGGAGGGCGTATGCACCGATCCTGGGCTCAGGATGGGCCTGGCCAGAATCGGTGCATGTGCATAGTTCTCTTCCCTCTATTTTCGTCCGCTGAGGCGGGGCGCGCTGGGTGGTGTTCGAGGCAGCGTGTGCCTCGGGCCTGGTCCGCGGATGCCTTTCCAGGGGCGCTGGGGGCGGGGGTGGTCGCCTTCAGAGAGCTGGTCTCTCTCTCTCTCTCTCGAGGCTTAGTGTTTTTTTTACGTCAGGGGCGGGGGGGCGACTGAGAGTGCATGCTCTCTTGAGCACTCCAGGTTTGGCAGGGCCCACGCCCTGCCAAGTCGAGTCGCGAGTCCGCCTGCGCAGGGCCTCTTTCTGGCTTCTCGGGGGGGCGATGTGGCCGCCACTTTTGGAGGCCTGCGCCGCGGGGTTTGGGCCCCTGGGCCGCTTCCATCAGAGGGTGCTTTGCCACATGGGGCTCTGTCCCCCCCCCGAAAAACAAAAGCGGCCCTTCATGTGAGGCGCTCCAACCAGGGCCTTGCCTTCGAGGATCGAAGCATTGTCATCCCTTCCGCGGCGGAAGCCGGCTGAAGGGCGGCGGAAGTGAAACCGGGCCGCCTCCGCCTGCGGAAGGTTGGCGGAAGGCGGCGGAAATAAAAGTTGCGCCCCAAGAGATCAATTCGTTTTTTGGTTCAGGGTGTCCGAAATCCGCGTTGTTGCGTGAACGCCGCAACGTTGTCATCTCTTGGGAGCGATTGTAGTTGCCCTTGGGCCAGTGCCGCCGATCCGGGGCGCTCCCGATGGTGCTCGGGTTCGCTTGGATGCCTATGGGGCCGTCTTGGGGCCCTCGTGGGGCCGTGGTAGGAGGAGGCCTCTTGAGTGGATCTTTGAGCCTTTTGGGGGCTTCTTGGGAGCCTCTTTGGCCGTCTTTGAGCGTTCCTGATCTGTCGGACGCCGTCGGAAGCCCTCTTGGGCGCCTTGCTGCGCCGTCTGGAAGCCATCTGGGGGCGCTTCAGGGCCGCCCGGGAGGCCATCTTGGCCGTCTTGGAGGCCTATGGGCCTGTCTTGGGATCCTCTTGGGGCCGTCTAAGGAGCCTCTTGGGCCATCATGGGGCCATCTTGGGGCCCCTGGGGCGATCTTGGGGGCCTCTGGGGTCGTCGTGTGCAGTCGGGAGGCGGAAAAGAACGAGGCGCCCCAATCTTACAAAAGCGTATAGAAAACCAATGATTTGGTGGGAATTTGGCTGATTTTTCTGTGTCCCCGCCCCGCCCAGAAAATGGAGCACATTCGGAGCACAAGCGGAGCACAGGCGGAGCATAGGCGAAGCAGCTCTCCCCCCCTTTCCTCGGCGAAGCTCCCCTGGCCCCCCCCCCGAGCAGAGCTGAAGCTAAGGCTGGGGGATGTAGCTGCGGCGCTTTGAAACGCACACGCCAGATCGGCGGATCTTTCATATCCGCCAGCTGTCGCAGACTCTGGACTCCGCCGGCCTCCCGGCGACGAGCCTGCCCCCGTTTTGCCTTCCGCCGCCGTCTGCTCGTTCGGCGAGGCCTTCTCTGCAGTGCTTGATCTGGACATCGCCCCCCCGCCCTAGGCCCCTTCCCCCTCCGCAGCGCGTAGCGGCTGACCTCTGCGACCACCTGCAGACCTCGTGGGTCCCACAGCCGTTTGGCGACAGACCGCGCGGTGACTTCGGACCCCCCCAAAGACCTCACCGCACCGCCCGTCCCCACACGGTTTGGGGACCCTGGAGGCCCCAGTCGCTCGAGGCGTCCTGGGAGAACGATTCAAGTCCCAAAACCGAACGGTGACCCCGCATCCCTACCGATTCCACACGGCGTGGTCACCACACCGTTTGTGGCCCCCCTTTCTCCCGACGTGTCCAATCAAGGCTTGGCTTTCGGACACCCCAGTGGCCTCCGGGGGAAGGAGCGCGCCCCCTCTCAGTTTGGCTCGAAGTTGGGGCCTCGCTTCTTGTCGTCGCCGCCGCCGTTTTCGTGGTCGTCGTTCGCCGCCGCCGCCGCTGCCGCCATCGTCGTCGCCGCCCTCCTCCTGCTGCTAACGGTTGATGAAGGTAACTCCTCCTCCTCCTCCTCCTCCTCCTCCTCTACAGTTAATATGAAACTACTCTCCCTCTTCCCCGGATGACGGTTTGAAAATGCTCGACCCCCCCCCCCGCGTTTTGTTTTTTTGTACACACAGGTTTCCCCGGAGTTGGGTTTTCGCTTGCATTTTTTTCAAAATGCTGCTCTCGCTGAGGCGCCGGCCTCATTTTCGGGCCCCGCTCGTTCCGAATCGTGCTCCCGCTGCAGCGTTGGCCTCATTTCCGTGCTTCCGCTCGTTCCGAATCGTGCTCCCGCTGCAGCGCTGGCCTCATTTCCGCGCTTCCGCTCGTTTCGACTCGTGCTCCCGCTGCAGCGCTGGCGTCATTTCCCGTGCCATGCCACGGCATGCAATGCAATGCTAGGTTGATACTACGCTTTGCGGTGCTCTTCTACGCCATGCCATGCCGTGCTCTACAATGCATCGCGTACCCTTTCGGGATCATTGCCCTGCTCGACATCCGACTGTGCGAGTAGAGAGGGGATCTGCGCCATGGTAAGGGATGGGAGGGAGGGGTAGGATGTCAGATATGACGCGAGCGCACCTAGCTTGTCCTCCTCCCCCTCCCCCTCCTCCTCTTCCTCCTTCTCGTCGTCGTCGTCGTCGTCGTCGTCGGGGGGAGCGCAGCGGCTGTCTGCCCGTGCAGCTTCTCATTCCTGGCGCCGTCCGCCAGTGCCTCTCTGTCCCCCGCTGTCCCCCTCCCCCGCAGGAGGGCATCCACGCGAGCGACGTCTACAAGGCCCTTCCCCGGCCTGGTCGGTTGCCCTCCGCGTCGCCGCGGGCTGGCGCTTCGTACAGTCGAGGTCGATTAGAAGGCCGACCCTTCCAGATCAAGGGCGCCCGTGCGTCCTGTTCCCGTGTGTTCGCGCCCTGCGCCCATTGCAGTCCTGGGGCGGTGTGCCCTTCGAAAGCGTCTTGCGACCCTCTCTCGTGTCCTCTCCAATCGGACTCGGCCGCACAAAACCAGCCGCATCTAGGGGAAGCTGTGGTCCTTGCCCACCTGGAGGACACCCGTCAGCTTCGGCGCCGCTCTCGAGGTATCGCCGACGCGAGGGGTTCCCCCTCCAGGGGGTGCAGCCAGGAGAGTTCCAGGTGGTGTCAGCGTTGCGTCCACGGATTGGCACCGTTCGATGTGGGCTTCAAGCTCTGACTGCCTTCTGCTTCAAGGCGCTCACGTGGCTAGTCAAGATGCCTTAGGCCCGCAGCCCCGCGGTCCCCACTTGGATCTGAAGATGAGGAAGATGAGGAGGAGGAGGAGGAGAAGGAGGAGGAGGAGGAGGAGGAGGAGGAGGGAGATGATGATGATGAGGATGAGGAGGAGGAGGCGGAGGAGGAGGAGGAGGAGGAGGAGGAGGAGGAGGAGGAGGAGGAGGAGGGAGGGAGGAGGAGGAGGCGGAGGAGGCGGGGAGGAGGAGGGGAGGAGGAGAGGAGGAGGAGGAGGAGAGGAGGAGGAGGAGGAGGAGGAGGAGGAGGAGGAGGCGGAGGAGGAGGGGGAGGAGGAGGAGGAGGAGGAGAGGAGAGGAGTAAGGGAGGCAGTAGGAGGAGGAGGAGGAGGAGGAGGAGGAGGAGGAGGAGGAGGAGGAGCAGGAGGAGGAGGAGGAGAGGAGGAGGAGGTGGAGGAGGAGGAGTCATGCCAGCCCGTGCGCGCTTGATCGCATGGTGCCATCTCCACGAGCTGCTGCTCGTGGGAGGTCCAACACCAGAATTTCGCGATCCATCCCCCGCTGCGCCGCGCCCACCCCGCCACCGCACCGTGGGGGAAGCTGCGCAGCCGGGTTGCATCGCGGTGGGGCTTCTTGGGGTTTCTCGGGTCTGGATTATCAAGAGGGGAAAACACACAGACACAATTCAGCGTCGATCCCCTGGAAAATATGGGAAACATGGGAAGTTTGGGGGGGGAAGACGGAACTCCTGAAAACATTAGAAAATATAGGGAATCTTGGTATTTGTGTCTATTTATTTGTGTGTCTCAGGGCACCTTCAGACTAGCGGGGCGCCATGCAGAGTGAGACTGGATGCAACCTTGAACCCAGACGACCTGCAGGGGAAACACAGATCGAAACGCCCGACGGCGTCAGGTCTGGGGCCCTCCTGGGAGCTCCTCGCGGGCCTCGGATGAGGCTTCACGAGGTGTTCGGGCTGTCCCTGGCTGTCTGGCGGGTGTCAGCAGAGGGTCCTGGGGCAGGGATCGACCAAACCGACGCTCGCAGCAACCTCGTGGACCGTTTCCGTTTCGACTCCGTTCGTCTATCGCGCTCCGTGCCTTCCTCACGCCTGGAGCGTGGCGCTGCTCTCGGGAAGGGACTCGTGCCCCCTCGCCGGTCCTCCGTTCAATCCGCCCTGACTGTAGCCGCCTGGGCTCAGGTCGGCGTCGCCCAAACATACTAATACTATGTGTGCGTCGCCCCCCAAGGGGCGACGCGCGCACCGAGAAATCTTACAGTATATGCGTCGTTGCGGGCGCTTCCTGGCCACACCGCTCGGGAAACGATGTACTACAGGATGGGTGTACTATGTGTTCGGGCAGGACGCGCGCCTTCGAGCAGGACATATAGTACTAGTATGTCCTTCTGCGTCCCATCCGGAGCCTTCGGCACCACATGCCTCCTCGCCGCCGCCCGCTCGCATGGCCGATGGGGCGGCTCCGATCCAGCTGCTCTGGCGGGCGGGCCCCTACGCGGTGGTCTGGCGGGCGGCCGGCGTGCCCCTGGAGTTCGAGGAGGCGGGCGCTGGCGAGGCTCGGCACGGAGGCGGCGATCGGCATCACCCCAAGGAGGAGGAGGAGGAGGAGGAGGAGGAGGAGAAGGAGGAGGAGGAGGAGGAGGAGGAGGAGGAGGAGAAGGGGGAGGAGGGGGAGGAGGAGGAGGAGGAGGAGGAGGAGGAGGAGGAGGAGGAGAAGAGGAGGAGGAGGAGGAGGAGGAGGAGGAGGAGGAGGAGGCGGCGGCGGCGAAGGCGGCGGAGGAAGAGGAGGAGGCGGAGGAGGAGAGGAGGAGGCAATCGGCATCACTCAAACATGCTTCTGCGAGGTGCGCGTCCGCCCTGCAAGGGGCGACCCGCGCGCTCGGAGCTCACACCGCCCGGGTGACGATGTGCTGTGAGATGCCTGTGTCATGGGCTCGGCTCGGACGTGCTCCTCCAAGCGGGTGCGCACAATTATTCGCCATGGTGATCGTTTTCTTATTCATTGCTTTGCCGATCGGCGCGAGCCCTCGAGCCCCCCCCTCCCCCCCCATGGAGTAGACCTGGGCTGTTTTTGGCGCCTGTTTCGAGCAAGTCGGGCCTCCCCCGTAGGACGCACTGTTGCAACAGCAATCGCGTTAAGCAGAGATCATGAGCCCCGCCCAATGTCGAAACGGTCGCATTGGGGAACCAGATCTGGAAAGGGGGCTCCTCGGCGATTCAAGCAGACAAGTTCCTCGACGATCTGTTTATGCAATGGCTCTTCGATTCAAGCTGACACTTCTACAGAAAGTGAACTGGTGTTTAGATCCTGCCACAACTCAACTTGTGTCTAAAATTGCTGCGGTGAGCGGCGCCGGCACACACACGCAGCCACCTACCGCCCCAACCAACCTCCATGGAAGCCATATTCAGGTCCTGAGGTTTGTCGCCGTCCTCGGGCCCTCGGTGCCCTCCGCGGGCCCCGGGGCTGTCAGAAAACGGCTCGGGATGAGGATCTCGTCCTGGGGGGCAGCCCCGGGGCCCAGGACCCGTGCCCCTCAGGACCCGTCTCTCCCATCCTGAGGAGGAGGAGGAGGAGGAGGAGGAGGAGGAGGAGGAGGAGGAGGAGGAGGAGGAGGAGGAGGGAGGA